AAATATTCAGCTGATAGCTGAACATAATATTTTATCTATGATCTGAATAACATGGACTGTATTGGGATGTTTAGTACCTCTCTTGATCCAGAGACAAAAGTCCTATTAATGCATCTTAAGACCAATTCAGTTTTGTTTTACTATCTTCACATGTATATACTTACATGGCATATTTAACTGGGGGGAGCTCTTCTTGGAAGGCTAGTGCTTTCACTCTAGGGTTCAGCTGTACATTGCTATAAAAACTTCTTGAAGCATTTAAATAATTTAAATATTGAACCAAGATAATGACACTATGAATATATAAGAATGTATCCCCATTTTTCACATTTAGGAATACAAAGAAATATTTAGACAGGCTTTCCTAAATTTAAAAATATGTTTGTATAAAATAAACTGATTAAAAGAAAGTTACTTTAATTCGTAGAAAAATATATATATTGCCTATTATACTTGGAAGAAGTAAAGTGCTTCTGTTATAGATCTGGTTTAAAAATAATCCAAGATTTTAAAATATTCAAAATCAATTTCCTTACATTCTAAAGGCATAATTCTGCCTGAATGTTTTTCATAATTCTGCCAGAACTTTTCATATACTGGGATCTGCCTACTGATAACTTTATGCTTATTACAAAACCCATGAAACAAGAAATGAAGACCAAAGAGCTTTTTCTACTGAGTTTCTTCAAAGAACATGCTAGAAAAAAACAAATATTAGACAGTGGAAAATAAAAAACATTAAGGTTTTAAACTTCATTCTACAAAACAAGCTGAAAATGATTCCAGTATTATGAGAAATATGTGGTCTACACAACATGCTACAAGTTATATATTTTTTCATACAGTCCCAAAGCTGAAAATAAAGTCCCGAGCCATTTACTTTATTTGAATTATTTCTCAGTAAAATCATTTCAAACTGTAGGATAGATTTTTTGAGCTTTAACTATCATCCTTTCTATTTTTTTCCCATAATCTGCTCTTTCCCTTTTAAATCCTCACTCATTCCACCCATTTCTCTTGTCTTTTAACTGCACAGAATGTTAGCAAGTAGCAAAGCCCAGAGGACGGATTTTGGTTATTAAATTTGAAAAGAATCTAAAGCAACTATAGTAATTAGTAGTCAATAAAATATTTTCAACCAAATCAAATTAATCTAGGTACTGTTTTATATTTTTAAATTGCCTAAGGCAAAATTACAATCTCCACATCAGTAGTGATTTTAATGCCACAATTTGTATTAGAGAAAGCATTATTCACAAAAGACAAGTTAAGACTGAATTAAATCACAGTGATTAATTTGTTTGTGGGTTAAAGCTGAATTCAAAATATTTATAAAACTAAGTATGTGGAAGTGACAGAATGAAATCTCAGTAATTGGGGCGAACGTTTTCTCTAATTAGCTGAAATGCATCATTAAATTCTATTGTACCAGCAGCTGAAAAAAAATAGCTGTTTTAGAACTAACAAGAGAAGTGTTAGAACAAAGACATTTCATTTCACACATGATATTTCAATCTTTTTCAGTACATACTCAAAGTTAAATTTGATAACAACCACCATTGATAAAATATTCAAAAGAAACAATCAACAAAATGTAAGATAAGAAACATATAGGAAGACAAATATTTCACTTATTGAGGAACAGCAAGTCTAAGAGAGGTCTCTAATATCAAATATGGTGTAACTGTTAAAAATCAGATGCTGTTTACTGAAGCTATCCTCAAGTAAATCTACACTTCTAAGATTATGACTACAATGACAGGATTTATGTGATTACTGTCATTGAACTTTCATTTTCTTTTTTCTACCCTTGTATTTTAACAGGCTCAACCAATGTCATTCTTATTATCAAAAGTAAAGATGAATATAAAATAGTTAGATACACAGATGGATGGATGGATGAGATAAATAAGATACAAAAAGAGGTAGGGATGAAAGATGAGACAGAGAAAGAAGATAGAAAGCTTTATTATGAAAGCCATATAAGCTCATTGGCTGCTGTGCTGAGAATAACCTATACAGGGATGGGGTGGATGCACAGACCAATCACTTGGCTACAGAATAACCCAGATAGGACATGATGGTGACTTGAACCAGCTGATCTCAATGGATGTGGTGAGAAATGGAGGTGGAGCCAATAGGATTTGGGGCAAGTTTCAACGTGGAAGCTTTGTCCTAAGCAACTGAGGTGTGGAGTTTCCATTAACTGCATTGAGGAAGAATGTCAGTAGAGCAGGTTTATGGGAAATGATTAGGAGTTCAGTTCTGGACAACTTCATTGGATATGAGTAGGCAGTTGAATAGGAGAATCTGTGGTTCAGGGAGTAGGTCCAGGATGAGTATGTATACTAGGGTGGTGTTAGCATATATTATTAGTCATGAGATTGTATATCACTGAAGGAGAGATTCTAGACAGAAAAGGGAAGAGGCATAAGGACTGAAGTCTAGATATCCCTAAATTTAGGATATTATCTTGGTAAAACTGTTTTCAAGAAGCACCCTACCAAGTTACACACAGACCAGAATAATATGATAGTGTCAGTCACTACAGCCTTTGCTAAGATTAGGCATTATATTTGACAGTCTCTTGATCTTTCAATATTTATTCATTACAAGTGAAAATAAGACTTTTTGTATGTTTATTAGTACTTTGTACTTTTGTCTTCTATGCGTTCAGCTCATTTTCCCCATGCATTCTAATTCTTCTTATTGATCTGTAAAATCACTTTATATATTAAGGTAATTAACCTCTCACCTGTGATATTTGTTGCAGATGCTTTATCTCATTTTTATATCCATAGCTTTTGGTGTGAGAGGTTTTACATATTCTAGCCAAATTTATTCATCACTTAATTTGTTATGTACTCCACTGCATTAGTACATACAAAGACTTCTGTATGTGCCATGGTTCTTTAAATCTGCTCTTCCTACTAGTCAAACACTACTCTAAAGATTTCCCACTTAGTTAGGAGGCACATCCATGATTTTGTCTTATCCAAAAGTTAATTCATTTTAATATTTTTACTTTTTTCTTTAAAAATCTTTTTATGTGAATTAAAATTTTATTTCACCTTTAATATTAACCTCCCCATTTTTTTCCTATTACTCCCTTGTCCATGGATATTCTACCAATCAGAAGTACATTTCTATGACAACAAATGATGTACAGCAAAACAACCAAAAAAAATGTCAATAATAAGAACTACATGGTGGGTGCACTTCTGTAAACACCCAATGCCAGTATATTACACCCTAACTGCATCATGAAGCAGACAGTTGAGCAGGTACTAGAGGGGAAGCAGGTACTAGAGGGGTTCCATTTCCGAACTAACCCAGCATCTGGGAACTTAGAGAAGGGAACTAAAAAATCTGCCATGTACCAGATCTGTGGCATAGGCTCTGGGTCAGGTACTTTTCTAGTGTAAAGGGCTATTATTCCATCAGTTTACTGATGTTATCTGTCAACTACCATGAGACCCCACTGAATTTTCTGGAAAGAAAAGCTTCTGACTGAGATAGTGATTGACAAGGTAAATGGTTGCGTCTTGAGCTCAGTTTCACTGAATGTGGACCTCAGAGAATATCCTGCTTCTAACGATTTACACACTGACTCTCACGTGCACCCCTCAGGAAGATCCTGTTCCTTCTTTGGATTCCCTCCCTACTAACCTTATATCAGTTCAGGTACACAGTAATCAAATTCCACAGGTATGCAGTTTTTCCTTTTCCCCCTCTGTGGTCACACATTCCACTTTAAGGGGCCATTTAACTGCATCTTGTAAAATGTCAAAAGAAGAGCAAATCTCACCCTCTTTCATAACTCTTCCACATAGCTAGCCTCCAGTATCTCACCTGCACTCTCTCGGAAGGCTTCCCTCCCTCAGCTCTTACCCTCAAGTCCGTTCCCTTCAACTCCCCTCAATCCTCTGCTCCTAACACCTGCTCTGGCTTACAACTTCCTACTTGTTTCATGAAATTCCCCTAACTAAACATCTACTTTGTTCATTGGCTCTTTCACTTTGACATTGAAAGGTGCTTGTTGAGCAGGTCTGAAAGAAAAACTACAAGTCAACCTCATATGATTAAAAAAAAAAAAAACTTGTGGGAAATGGCAAGGAAGGTTATGTGCTATCTGATTATCGTATGTCAAAAATCAGTACCTAAAAATAAAGCCTTCGCTGATACTTATAAAGTGAAATAGCTTAAGATCAGTTTTCTCTAGAAGTCTTATGTGCAAGCCCTACTTGTCATTCCCTATATTGGATGTGAATCAGCTGGGTGTAGGAAGTGAGAATTTATTTGATTTTGTTTACCATGAGGAGGACTTTGGTTTCTTCTTTGCCCCTAATATGAGTTAGATGGGAAAAATTTAAAGAGGTTCAATGAAAAGACAAGCAAGAAATTAGATATGACAGGTGGATTGCAAGGGTCATATCCATTTCATAGATTTGTGTAGGGAAAAAGGGAAAACAAATAAC